CCCCCGCGAGGCCGCCAGTCTGGGGCGGCCGCCAGCCCCCTGAAGCCGACCAGGGTCGGGGGACCCCCTGGTCGGCGGGGCCGTCATGGGCCCCAGAGAGTGTCGACGCCCCGGCTTCGGCCTCTGCTGCTGTCACCGCGTCCGCGACTCCCCCCGCCTCCCATGTCCTCGCCTCCAGCGCTGCTGCCCGCGCTGCCGTCGCCGCCGCCTGCGCCTGGGCCGCTTGCCAGCCCGCGTGAAGGGGCACCGCAGCGGACCTGCAAGCCCTCGCAATCCTCGTGCAGCTTGCGCGCCACGGGAACCCACGTCACTGAGCCTGCGGCGACCTCGGTGGGCTGCACGTCAGCGTAGTACTCCGCCACCTCCCACGGCACGACGTGCGGACGAGCGTGAGCCGCCACGAAGCTCACCAGTCGCTCACACAAAACTTCCAGCGCCGTCGGAGCACCCAGACTCACCTGGTCGCAGCCGTACGCCAGATACCCTTCCTCGCATATACAACGTGACACGTGGGCGACGCGATCCGTGGTGGCCAAACTCATCTCTCGAAGGTACTCATCGAGCCGAAAACGGGAATTGCCGCCTACCTCGACTGGCAGATGCACCACCCTGGCGGAGCCATCGTCCGCGAAGTGCCGCTTCGACGTCCCCGAAACGCATACCTCCTGTGGCGGCGGCACGCGAACGGTGGGCAACTGGTGACTGCGCACGGCGCCGTCCGAAAAGCCCTGGCAGCCATCGTCCTGGAAGTACTCATCGCCGTCTGGCCCAAAGATCCACCAAACGTCATCGCCGAGAAGATGGAGCAAGCTACTCTCGTGATGTACGCCGTCGCCGTCGTACACCACGGCGCCAAACTGGCCGAAGGCCAGCTCACTGTACCACTCCGCCTCCACGTCGAGCGGGAGGCGCGCCATGTCTAACCGCAGCGGATCGGCCTCGCACGCAACAGCGGCCCACCACGACGCCCAAGAGGTTGGTGAACACGGGCGGCAGCAGCAGCCACACAGCCTGCTCCCCAGGCGACGGGCCCTGCAGCTCCACCTGCGGGCAGGCGCAGGCCGGGCAGGCTGGGCACTGGGGCACCACAGGGCACACCGCCTCCAGCCAGGCGGGCGAGCCCTTGGGATCGCCTCCGCCCAGCGCCGCGTCGGCGTCGGGTTGCGGCGGCGGGGGCGGCGGCCCGCCAACACCCAGCAGACCCTCGGGCAGCAGGCCGACCTCGGCAGCGCGCCAGCCAGCACAGGAGAGGACCACCGCGAGGACCGCGATCGGGGGCCGGCCGTCGGCAGGTCCCATGGGCGCCTCTGACGAGAGAAGAGAGGCTTGAGCATAACTTATGGCAACAAGGAGACACCACCCGAAACAATACCTCTCACCTTCCCGTGCAAGCACACACATACACATATACACATATATATGTATATATATATATATATAAATAAATAAACATATATGTGTGTGTATACATTCACACACGCATACATACGTCTACATGTATAATATATATATATATACATACACCTATCTATACATAAGTAAACTTTCGGAGTCCCGCGTGGATTTCTTGGATCTGAGGTGGGGCCCCCCTCCTCGGCGCGCCTCCGCCGCCAGGGGGGCGCAAGCGCCGACCAAAAGAAGTCCGCGCGGATCTCCGACAAGTCATCCTTTGGCAACTCTACTTCGCGGTGCACACGGAGCCCTCCGTACACCATCACCGCCGCACCTCATCAAGGCCCTCCATGGCCCTGGGATCGGTGTATACGCTCTCCCGGCCGAGCAAGGATGGTCAATACACCATCCGAATGCCCAGAACGGCCCTGGCCAGACATGGTGGTGGTTTTCCGCAGGAAGGCACACACATGATAATCAATTTGTTTAAACAAGACATCGAGGGGCACATCCTTCCTCGACTCTGAACTTCGAAAGGTAACCAGGGCCCTGCGGCCCTACCGGGGGGAAATCCAGAACTGCCGCAGGGCACCCAATAGCAGGCTGACCCCTTTTTTGATGCGCCTGCTTTACAGCTACCTTTCGCGGGCGCGCGGATGGATACATTCGCCGCTCGCGAAGTGGAATGTGGCTGGAATTTGATCGGCCGAACGCTGGGGGGGGGCATACAGAGGGGGCGTGCCTTCTCAGAAAGCTCAGAAGGCCTCTGGACTTTTGGAACGGCTTCTGAGCCTCCTCCGCCTGCAGGCAGCACTTTTTCCTGTCGGCGGCGAGGCAGAGGCAGTCCGCAGCAGCGTGAGGCGAATCGGGGTACAGCCAACACGTACAGCAAGGATGCGCGATCAGGATGCAAGGGCCTTGGACGCCCATTCCGGAGCTTCTCGAGCGGGGCGCGGCCAACGAAAATGGCCAAGGATGGGCCGAAGAGGCGAGGACGCAAGGGTACCCTTAGGAAGGTTGCCCATCCTTACTATGCGGGTTGACTGCAACCGACAGGCGAACCGTAGGCAACCCACCAAAAGACAACAACTTCGGAGGCCCGCGCGGATGTCGCGGACCTGCACTGTTACCAGCCTGGAACATATCCTTATCCCTATGCTAGGCACCTCCTCATCACGATGCCAATCTTAGGGATTCCCTTATGTTTTGAAGGCGAATCCCTAAGATTGTCATCGCCTTTTGGCGTGTCAATCTTAGGGATAGGGATACGTTCGAGGCTGGTAATACTGGGCCCCCGCTCCCCTTGGGGCGCGGAGCGCGCCGGGGGACGAGGCTAGCGGCGCCGCCAGGGGGGGTCCAGCGCAGAGCCAACGAGCTCCGCGCGGAGCTCCGAGGAACGCTTATGTTTGCCCGTCGGCCGGAAGGAGTCGGCAGAAGCATGGAGTAGGGAGGCGCTGGAAGTGTGTAGCTGGGGCTTCCGCCCGCCCCCTTGAGGAGGAGGGAGGAGGGAAGGCCGATCCACTCTGGAAGCAGGAGGGCGCCTGCTGAAGCAAGATCGGCACCCGGGTCTCAACAAAGACCTAATTACTTTCAACGACCAGCGAGCACGCAATTTGTGCTTCGCTGTTTCCCAGAAGGCGTAACCGGGGGGATACGTCGACCCCCATCCCATGCTCCGCGGGGTTTTCGCACGGGCCAGAAGTCCGGGGCCCAACCCTCGGATGTACGATAGGGGGGGGCGCCCAGCCTCGACAGTGTTGCGTCCTAAGAGCCCCCTGGGGTCGTATCCCACGGCTTCTCTCCCTCTCTGACTACCTACCAGACCACCCCAGCCCAACCCGAAGACCCGAATTTGACCCGAATTTCGGGTTGGGGGGGGGTACGGGTTCCATGTGTTTTTTCAACGTTCCCCGACCCCCCCCCACCAGAAATGGAGGGCAAATTGAGGCCCTCGGGTTGGGTTGGGGTGGTTTGGTGAGTGGTGACCTTCTGAGCGGCTTCATGTTTTGTCGAAGCGTGGGGGGGGGGGGGGAGGAACATCGCCTGCGAGAGCACGCCCCCTGAGATCCGACGTCGCGGGCAAAAAAACGATGACGCCGTGGGAAACCACGGCCCGAGCCCCAAACCCTATCTTTGGACGCCCGAAATGGGTACGGAAAGAATGGATACAGTCGGGGCGTTGACCTAAGGAACCCTAAATAAGGAACGAGGCTACCATAAGTTAAACTTCGATTTCCTATCGGAAACATAAGGAAAACCTGGGGCATGCTGTGAAACACTTAAGGAACGCGGAGCCCCTCCCCAACGAAAAAGGGTCCCTTCTTCAGCGCCCCGACTGTATATCTGGACGCCCGAAATGGGTACGGAAAGAATGGGCATAATGCCCAACAGCAAACGTTGTCCCGAGCCAGCAGCGGCCGCTGTTGGGCAGGCGGCCTTCCGTATCCAATGGACACAGGCCGCGGCGACGCCGACAGCGAGCCCTGCTCAAAATGAACAGGAACTGCTGTTTTGACGAGCGAACAACTCACACCCATACCCATAGGAGGGTCGAAAGGAGGGGAACTGGCTATGAGTATGGGTGCGAGTTGTCGGACCCTGGGGGAAGCTCCCGTTCGAGCGGGGACCCCCATCCGACAACACGCACCCATAGCCTCCTCCGTCCCCCCTACGGGTATGGGTGCGTGTTGTTCGATCGTCATGTTAGGCATCGTACCCATCCTTTCCGTCCCCATCTCGCTCGGGCCGACTACCTTTCTGCCTCCTGCTTCGAGCCGGAGGATCGACCCGTGCGGCTCCAGGGGGGGCCCGGCATCGGGCGGCAGCGCCCGGCTCGAGCCGCCAGGATCTCGGGGCCTCCTCCCCAGACGCGCGGCGTCCTCATTCTCTTTCGGGGCGGGGCCCCTGGAAGTCCCGACCCCCGTCCGCGGGGCTGGATGTCTGTCCCGAGTCGCTTGGTGGCGCTCCCGAGGCCCGGCGAGGGCCGCCAGAGGCCGAAAATAGCCAAAAACCTTCCGTCCCGAATTTGCTTCACGACGCGACCATGATTCACTTTTTTGAAAAATCCCCGTCTTGATTTGTTGCCCCGCGGGCGCGCCGCCGACGAGCCCAGAGCCGCCATGATTCTTGCATGACGTCGACCCCCAGGAGTTCGGTTGACCCAAAAGGGGGTCCTGCTGAAAGGGGGGGGTGCGATAGGTTTGGGGCAATTGTATTGCAAATGTATTGCGACGGAGAAATGGATTGCATCGTATTGCAGCTAATGCATTGCACGCGAAAATCCAGCAATACATTTGCGCACCGAAATGCATTGCACGCCCAAAAATTGTATTGCACTCCCACAAATATATTGCACCAAATCTATTGCACCACCCTCTTGTCGCTGGACACAATTTTGGATCGACCCGAGTCATGATTTTTTCATGACGTCGACCCCCAGGAGTCTCGACCCATTCCCCGGAACCGTTTCTCATCCCGAGTCGTTTTCTGACTGCCCCGCGTCCCGCTAAGGGCCCCCGAAGGCCGAGAATAGCGTAAAGTCTCGCGTCGTGTTTCTGTTCCTGACTCCAGGGGGTCTGGGAGTGAGGGGCGTTCTGCCCTCCAGGGTCCCTCGCGGGTGCAGACGCCGGCGGCTGGCCGGTGGCGATCGACTCCTGTGGCGGCGGCGGCGGGCTGGCGAGGCGGCGGCGCGCGGGCTGGTCGGACGCGCGCGCAGGAGAGCGGCAAGGGACAGACCCTCCCAGGTGGGCGTTTGTTTTTTTTTCGGCGTTTCGACATTGGGCGGAAGGGTTTGGAGTCCCGAAGCGGTGCGGTGACGGACCGTGCGGTGACCTCGAAATCCCCCAAGACCTCACCGCACGGTCCGTCACCACACGGTTTTGGGACCCTGCAGGCCCCCTGTCGCCCGAGACGTCCTCGGGGAGGGACTCGAGTCCCAAGACCGTGCGGCGACGCCGAATCCTCAACGACTCACCACACGGTGTGGTCACCACACCGTTTGGGGGCCCCCGAGAGGAGGAGGAGGAGGAGGAGGAGGAGGAGGAGGAGGAGGAGGAGGAGGAGGAGGAGGAGGAGGAGGAGGAGGAGGAGGAGGAGGAGGAGGAGGAGGAGGAGGAGGAGGAGGAGGAGGAGGAGGAAGAGGATGGGGGGGTCTGGCTCCGGACCTCTGCTTAGTGGGACGGTCTGCGGCGGTGCGTCCTCGCGGAGGAGGGCCCTGCCTGCTCGAAGCAGGCGCCACAAAAGCAGCCAGGATCCACTCCATGAGGGTGGGGGGAGGGGGGATGGGTTGGGGGCCCGCGCCGATCGGCAAAAGAATGAGAAACAAAAACGCTCACCAGACATGACCGCGTCGTAAAAACGCCAGGGCGGGAACCGTCTGGCGATTTTCGGCCTTGGGGGGTCCCTCGCCGGGCCTCGGGACCGTCAAAGGACGACTCAGGACGAAGCACCGGTCCAGGGGAAAGGACGTCGCATGTCTGGGCTAAGTCGGGCGTGTCCCCCTACAGGGGGATTGTGGGCAAAAATTAGAAAAAAATGCTCAAAGAATGCCCCCCCAATGGGCAAAAATAGGCAAAAAAAATCATCCCCAGACTCTGTTTTGACTATTCTTGAATCTTCCTCCCGTAGAGGGACAAGCCCGAAGTAAGTCTGGGCTGAGATCCTGGCGAATCATGTTCTGTCAATTGGGGATCCCAAACCATGTGGTGACAGACCGTGCGGTGACCTCGGAACCCCAAGAGACCTCACCGCACGGTCCGTCACCGCACGGTTTGGGGACTCTGGAGGCCCCAGTCGCCCGAGACATCCTCGAAGAGCGACCCGAGTCCCGAAACCGTGCGGTGACCCCGAATCCCCACCGACTCACCACACGGTGTGGTCACCGCCCCGTTTGCTCGCCATCGCTCGGACGTCCATTCCCTGTGTTTTGGTGTGGGTTTCGTGCGTGGTTTTTTCGCCAAATGATCAAGGATGCTTCTCGATGGTCCTCGCCGAAGGAAAAATGCACACGTCCGAGCGATGCCCAGTTTGCGGGTCCCCGAGCCAAGCCGGGCGTCTCCGCCCAGCTTCGGGCCCCGGGGCCACGGCGCGCACAGCCGGGGTCTGCCCCGGTCGTGGCTCCTCACGGTGCCTCGAGTGCCTGGCGCGGCGCCGGATCGCAGGGTCAAACACGCTCCAGAGCTGTCCCTGAAGTCGGGCGTGTCCCCCTACAGGGGGATGTTCGACGAAAGATGGAAACAAACAGGTCCAACATGGTCAAACAATACTGACAAAATAGTCCCCTGAAGATGTTCTTACCATTTCTGAAGATTCCTCCTGTAGAGGGACGGGCCCGACTTACGCTTTCCCAGAGGTCCCAACGATGCCTCCGCGAGGCCTCCGCGGGGGGCCCAGACGCTGCCCAACGCAGTCAGAAACCTCCATCCCCGTCCCTCCCCCCCTTGGACCCCCCGCCCCCATTCCAGGGTGCGTCCCGACCAAGACGTCTTGCCAAATCCAGCCGTGGCGACGAGCGGTCGGCCCCCGTTTGAGCCCTCCTCCCCTCCCTGACGATCGAACAACACGCACCCATACCCACAGGGGGGGACGGAGGAGGCTGCTATGGGTGCGTGTTGTCGGATGGGGGTCCCCGCTCGAACGGGAGCTTCCCCCAGGGTCCGACAAGTCGCACCCATACCCATAGCCAGTTCCCCTCCTTTCGACCCTCCGATGGGTATGGGTGTGAGTTGTTCGCTCGTCATTCCCCGTTTTCATGCCGATCCTCCGAAATCCGCTCAAATGCATCCCCGGACCCCTCCCAGGGCCTCCGCAGGGCCACTGGGGGCCCAGAGTCGTTCGCCCCCCCCCCCCCCCCCCCTCTGTGCTCCAAGGCTCTCGAGCTAAACAATATCTCCGTGCTCGTCCTGTTGTCCCTCGTTTTGTCTTCGTTCCGCCACTGCTGAGAAACGAGATTGACACTAAAACGGCCCACGAAATCGCTGAAGCACCGTTTACTCGGGCCCTGCTGTGCTCGTGTCCTCGTCGCCGTGGACCTCCGATCCGTGTCGAGTTCCCGAGGGTGCACTACACCATCGGGAACTCGACACGAGTCGGCGGAGAAAAGATCTCCTGAGAAGGTACTCCGAGGGGAGCCCAGACTCCGTTCCGCCACCGTCCCGAATGCGGAAGGGGAAAAACAAAGAGGGCCAGAAAACGATCAAAACCTCGATCTGGTTCGACGACGACGACGACGACGACGACGACGACGACGACGACGACATCGACAACGACGCGTCACGAGCCGTGAGGGAAACGGGACCGGGCCCCAGGGCTTTCCAGACAGTAGGGCCAGCCAACGATTAAAATCTCGATCAAGTTCGACGACGACGACGTCGTCGCCGCCGTCGTCACGAGCCCTGAGGAAAACGGGACCGGGCCCCAATAATATACACCGCCACCACCTCCATTCCCCCTCCCTCGTCCACCCTCATCTTCCCCTCCTCTTCCCTGGGAGAAGGAGGGGAGGCGGGAGGTGGTGGTGGTGTGTACCTTTGGGCCCCGTAGCCGAGGGAAACGGGACTGGGCCCCAGGGCTTTCCCTACAGATAGCCCGGCAAAACCATGCTGGAAGTATCTTTGGATGCCTTTGGGGAGCTTTCTCGGCGGGCTCCTGGGGGTTTCTGAGGGCAGCCAGAGGCCGACAATGGCCAAACACTTCCCGCCCTGATTCTTTACGACGCGATCATGTCTGGGGTTGTTTTTTGTTATGCGACCACAACAGCTCTTGGATCACTTGTGCACTCCGTGGCGACACGCGGCAGAGATTGACCAGCAACTTTATTTACAACAACATCCCAGAAATAAAAAAGCACTGGCGAGAAGAACCGGATTGGCCAGCCGGGTAGACGTCACCACAATCAGGGGGACAGGGAAGAGGAGGGGGAGGAGGAGGAGGAGAAAAGCTGAACCAGCTTGCGAAAGATACAACTTAGCCCAAAAAACGTATCATCCCCTTGTCTGCCAAAGCGTTGTGCGACAGACCCGCATGGAACGGCCTCGACAGCCTCGACGGCCTGTCTGGGGCTGTTCGTGAACCACTTGCTGGCAGAAGCTCTGGACGGGCTCCGCGGGAGGGCTCGCGGCCAGGGGCGCGGGACGCCCCCCCTGCGGCCTCTGTTGGACCGCCGCCCGCCCGTGCTGCGGGCCGACGTCTGCGCTGCAGCGGCTCCCCCTCGGCCCAGGCAGTCTGCGTGGGGGGTGCTGGCGGCCGCGCCGCGTGCTGCTGGGATTGTGGACGCCATGGCAACGGACACCCGAACACCCCCATCATTGGATTGGACATGTGCTGAAGATGTTTGAGACATGTTTCAAGCATGTTCGGAGCATGCGTTTCACATGCTGCACACGTGTTTAAAATATGTTTAAACACCTGGGAAATTGGCAACACGCTTCATCTCCACTGATCGTCGTCCACAATGCTGGGAGCACTGGCCTCGTGAAAAAAAGATGCTGGAAACCACTCTCCTTGACGGCATTCTCTGGCAGAACGACTGTACCTCGTCGACATTGGGCACTGGAACCCACACCGTGGGCTGCTGGAACCAATGCGACCCGTGAAAACTGGGTGCTGGAACCCACACTTCTTGACGGTAAAATCTGCTGGGAAACTAAAGCTGTAAACCTATGAGTAAGGAAGGCTTCGGGGCGGGTATGGGGCCCAGTGATCGGTGTCCTCGCCTCGCCCTCTATCGGGGGCAGTCCGCGCGCGCGTGTGTGTGCGTGCGCGTGTGTGCGTTCGTGCGCGTTCGTGCGTGTGCGCGCGCGTGTGCGCACGAGCTTGTGCGCGCGTGCGTGCGCGCGGGTACGCGCGCGCAAGCTCTGGCGCGAACGCGAGCCCGAGCGCAAGCTTAAGACCGAGCCCGGGCCCGCGCGCGCACGCGCTCAGGACGGGGTTCGGTCTCGGACTCGGTCTCAAGCTCGCGCTCGGGCTCGGGGTCGGGCTCGCGCTCGGGCTCGGGCTCGCGCTCGGGCTCGGGCTCGCCCCGAACTTGCGCGCGCGAGCGGGCGGGCGTGCCTGCGAACGCGCTTGCGATGCTCAAGAATCCCACTACCAACAAGCTTCACATGAGTATCTCCCTCCTATGAGTCGTCTTGAACTGCCCAGGAGGCCCCTGGAGGCCCGACAAAGGCGAGACACTCCACATGAACACCTTCCTTCAGGACCCCTCTCTCCATCTGATGAGATAATATGCCGATGGACAAGATATCTCTTTTCCATCTTGAGCCAAAATAGGTGCACGGAGGAGGGTGTCAGAATCACTCCTCCTCGGGCCTGGCCGCCAACCCGGCCAGGCACGACCTGCGTCGTACGCGGGCGCGCCCAAGCCGACGCGCCCATTTCATCAGCTAGGCTGCGGCCATGCCGCAAGCCCCTCACTCCGTCCGTACGGCGCGATCATACCGCCGCCGGCGGAACCTCATCCAGCCCCACAGGTAGCGGAGCATGGATTCGATCCACTTCATCACTTGAAGTCCTTCTGAGTCGAACTCGGTGCCCGATCCCAGATGTTGAGCGTCGCCATGTGCCTCCTCAACAGAGATCCACCCACGCTCTTGGTCAGCACGTCCGCGACATTGTTCTTGCCAGGAACCGCGGCGATCGAGAGGTCGCCCTTGCC